ATCTGCCATTAAGGGCATTGCTTACAATTTCTTACACAGTACACAGTCTTTGTTAGCGCTTTCTACTGACCATGAAAATACTAAGAAAATCTTACTCCTTCTGGCAGTCTCATGTAATAAAAATAGTGGGAATTTAATCTATAGAATTGTATTGATTTTAAGCTTAATATGACAAATACTAAATCTGAATTTTTTCATTTTGTCTTTTTTTTTTAATTGTTTTCATTCATGAATGTTTATAGTGGAGTATTTCATTCATAGTCTTGATATACTCCCAGGTATATTAGCTATTTGTTAGCTATGTATATGGCTATATATAAAATATCACTTTGGACCTAAAATATAATCATTTTTTAATTTTCCAGGAATCTCATGAACAGTGCATCCAGTGGATTGTTAAATTTATTCATGGCCAGCATAGTCCTAAAAGAATTTCTTTTCTTTATGACTGCTTAGCGATGGCAGTGGAGACTGGTCTCCTTCCACCCAGGTATGTTTACTGATAGAGCAATCCAAAGAATTTTTTTTTATTAATATTTTGAAATTGATCCAGGTTGTTATAATAGAGTAAAAGAATGAAAAAGGAGGTTAGGCTCAACAAGTAATCCTTCATAAAACGTCAGGTTTTAGTTTCTAGGATATAGTATTCTTAGAATTGTGTACATAAAAGCTCAAAACCAGGCGGGCTTTGCCTTTCAACTCAGGAGCTAGGGTCACTTAACTTTTCCTGCACAATGAACTACATGAACACATTGTGACTTAAAACAATAATAATCCTCTTATTAACACTCATGGTTGCAATGATTGACTGAGTTCAGTAGGCAGTTTTTCTCAGGATCTTGAGATTGCAGTCAGATGGTAGCTATGGCTATAGTTATCACAAAGGTTTCCCCATTCATGTCTGGTGGTTGATGCCTGGCTGTCATCTGAGACTCTAGCTGGGGCTATCATCTGGAATCTATACATGCCCTCTCCTCGTCATCTGGACTTTCTCACAGCATGATGGCACCCAACACAAGCATTCAAAAGAAGGCTAGACAGAAGCTACATTACCTTGCCTTGGATGTCATAAGCGCCCCTTTTGCCATAATCTTAGGCCTGCCCAGATTTTAGGGAAGAGAGTGTAGACCCTTCTCCCACCTCTTCATGGGAGTAGTGTCAGTGTCACACTTTAAAAGAGCTTGTGGGATTGAAAATCTTGTTTCAGCCATCTTGGAAAAATACAATCTACCGCAAACTGATAGATGGTAAGCATTTCATCTATAGTTTCTGGTAGATTTCTGTCTAGTAAGAATATACACAATATTATCGTGTTCTGTTTTTTGTTCTTTCACTTAAGTGAAAAAAATGTACATAATTTTTTAAAGTACGTTTGAAAAGTAATGTTCCTTTCTCAGAAACGCTATGATAAATACACAGAATACACAGACCTTGGCTGTTAGAGCATTTGAAAAATTCTGTTGTGTAACTGGAATGGGTATTCTTATTTTCTAGGATGGTTTGTGAATCCCTGATAAACTCTGACACACTGGAATGGGAAAGAACGCAGCTTTGGGCCTTAACATTTAAACTAGTTCGGAAAATAATTGGGGGAGTGGATTACAAGGTATTTTTTCCTAATTATAAAAAGTAATCACTTTCAGACATGATTGATTTTTAGTGTGTAGATCTTAATTTCAGATGGAATAAATGAAATGGAAGCATTTATTTTTTGTTGTATTTCCTAAAGGAACTTAAAATTGCTCAGTGTTTCCCATAGCTTCTCTGCTCTCCTCCCAACATTCTTTTTATTTTTAAATTTTTTTAAATTTTTTTTTAATGTTATTTATTTTTGACAGAGAGAGAGAGACAGAGCATGAGCAGGGGAGGGCCAGAGAATGAGAGGGAGACACAGAATCTGAAACAGGCTCCAGGCTCTGAGCTGTCAGCACAGAGCTCGACACGGGGCTCGAACTCACAGACCATGAGATCATGACCTGAGCCGAAGTCAGACTCTCAACCGACTGAGCCACCCAGGCACCCCTCTCCTCCCAGCATTCTTAAAAATTCCAGTCCTAATATATATGATGAGTAGGGAAGTCACCAGCAGACTCTGTTGCCTTTTCATGTCACAGATCTTACAATGTTGCGCCCCTTTCAAATGAAAGAGCACAGAGCAGGGGCATGTGAAACCATGAAGGGATGTAGTCATCAGCTGCTAAAGGGAGCAAGCCCTGTTTCACCTCTGCTTTGACCTCCTTTGACCACATATGCTTCAGCGCTCTTCTCTTGACCCAGAATAACAGCACACACTCTCACTGTGTCTCGTGATACAACTCAGGGTCTCCCTTGCTGCAAACACCATTCTCCTTCATTCAGACTACCTTTGTTATTGTCCTTTTTGTTTTTTTTTTTTTTATTTTTATTTTATTATTTTTTTTTTCAACGTTTATTTATTTTTGGGACAGAGAGAGACACAGAGCATGAACGGGGGAGGGGCAGAGAGAGAGGGAGACACAGAATCGGAAACAGGCTCCAGGCTCCGAGCCATCAGCCCAGAGCCTGACGCGGGGCTCGAACTCACGGACCGCGAGATCGTGACCTGGCTGAAGTCGGACGCTTAACCGACTGCGCCACCCAGGCGCCCCATGTTATTGTCCTTTTTGAAAGGATTGCCATTGTCTGACCCTAGGCTTTATCTGTATTATCTGTATTTTCTCTAATCAGAAATGACTTAAACTGCTTAATTATTGATCTGAATCATGATTTCATACAAAATTAATTCTAAGAAGCTTTTTTCTTTCTTTCTTTCTTTCTTTCTTTTTTTAATTTTCTCTTTACTTACACTTCACTTTCCTTAGCAGGTTTACTTGGAGTTTTTGCTTTCTTCACTTGATCTTAGCCAAAAAGCCGAGAAGCGATGGAGTTTTTGCTTTCTAATTTGTAGGATGCCTTATAATTTTTTTTCTAATTTCTTTCATGTGTATGTTTTGTCTCTTTTTTGCAAGACTGATCACACAGTTCATACTCAATAAATGCATGTTAAATGAAATTTTTTCTCTATATATCTGATTCTGCTCTGAAATAAGGCAACTAGTAATAGATAGGAGATGACCAATTAACAGAATAGCCTTATTGGATAAGTTTGAGTGATTAGGTATGTGATGGATGAGAAGGGGGAGTAAAGTTAGAATACGACAAAGCGAGTAAGCAGAAGGGATCACCTGCCAGAAAATTTAATATTATGGCCCATGTCTCAGAGTGTTTTCGAGTTCTATTTAAATATATTTTTGTAAGCTCAAATTAAACTTTTTGGACTCTCATAACAATAGAAAGTGTAGTAATGTTGTGAGGGTCTGAAAAACTTAGCAGAGTGTGGACTGATTTTTATTTGTAAGTGACTTTCTTTGTTCATTCATATTGTAGGACATTCTTTAGAATTCTGTTTTGCAACATGACTCTTCTCTTGGGTTAATGTTAGGGACTTAAATGTTAGCTCTGATTCAGAAAAACTGAAAATGTGACATTGAAGGTAACATTTTTTTCTGATTATGTGATGTTGAAATTTTTAGGTGTTTTAACTAGCACAGGGGGCACTACTTAGTTTTAACCTATGAGTTTTTTCTTATATCAGGGTGTTCGAGATCTCTTAAAAGTGATTTTGGAGAAAATCTTGACAATTCCGAATACAGTGAGCTCAGCTGTTGTACAGCAGCTTCTAGCAGCAAGAGAGGTAATTTAGGACATGTTTGCAATTCATTGATCATAATCTCAAAAAAGTCTATGTTTATATAGATCTGTGCCTTTAAAATATATGGTAGTTTGTGAACTGTTCCATTTGGGTACTTCTACAAAAATCACTTCTAGTTTTACTGTTTATTATATTTTTATGATATTATTAAAATGTATTTTACTTTTATTGTATTTCTAATGAAAATTTTAATTAAGTCCTAGCTTTTAATTATGAAAACAATATAGACTTAAAGTATTTTCAGCTGTTATAAGACCATAGCCTGTGGACCACTGAAAGATCTTTGTGCTTAGTAACTAATGTTGCAAGAGTTGTTACTTTGATCTGTTGCTTTCCTCTTAGAGGCTACCAATATTTAAAACAAGGTTATTTACTAACATCCATTTCATTGTCCATTAATCTTCATTTTGAGAGATTCTTCACATATAAATGAATTCTTTTATGCTATAGTGTAAGCCCATTAAATCCATAATATCATATCTTTGCTTTTAATATCTTTGTTCTTGTTGCCACTGTTGCATTTAAAGGGCTTATCTGTGGAACTAATCAAGAACAGTAACATTGCTCTTTTATTTTTCTTAGGTTATAGCATATATCTTGGAAAGAAATGCCTGTCTATTACCAGCCTATTTTGCAGTCACAGAGATCAGGAAACTGTATCCTGAGGGAAAACTTCCACACTGGGTAAATCTGATATTTTCTGTATTTTTAATAGAAATTTTAATCAAAAATAGTTATATTAATCTAATTTTTGTGTTTTTTTTTACTTATTTTTTTTAAATTTACATCCAAATTAGTTAGCATATAGTGCAACAATGATTTCAAGAGTAGATTCCTTAGTGCCCTTACCCATTTAGCCCATCCCCCCTCCCCCAACCCCTCCCGTTATATTAATCTAATTTTTGTGTGCTTATTTTCAAAATGGTCACTTTTATCCTGAGATAAAATGTGCTTTTTTTTTTTATCATTATAATGTATTTGTTTTATTTTTCTGCTATCTTCTTGAGACAGTTTCTATATCATGTGTTAAAATATACCAGCTTCATCAAATAGCTAAGGACATGGTGGTATGATTTGGCTTAATTCAGGGACAGATGAACTGGGAAGTAATTCTTTGTAAGGAAGTATAAGAGGACTAACTTTTGAATCATTTTTATATGCTAGGTATTGTATTAAATTTTAACATATTGTCTCATTTTATATAAATGATGGTTATATTCAGAGCAGTCTTGATTTTATTTTTGTACTTGTTTTTGTTTTGTTTTTAGTTACTTGGAAACTTGGTATCAGACTTTGTGGATACCTTCAGGCCCACAGCAAGGATAAACTCCATTTGTGGTAGGATTATAATTTAAAATACACTAAATAATACCTGGTTTTTAGTCAGCTACTGAACAAAATTTGCAGATGTACCTTACACATGTCCTAGTGGTTTGTTATTTTGATAATTCTGTAGAAGCTTAATAATAGCCATTTCCTTGTTTTCAGGTACTTTTTGTGTTGAGTGTAGGGAGGAAAAAACAGGTGTCTGGACTAGGTCTAAGTTTCAGGTGGAATCATTCTAGAAGATGTTTTTCCTGGTGAAAAGAGGGAACTTTTATTAGAGCTAGTAAAGCCCCATAGGATCTCCAGGAAACTAGAAGTCTCAACCGATCTGTCCCTCTGAGGCCATAGTACACAAGACTATCAGGTTCTTTCAGCCCATTCCAATTCACACTTTTGTTCTGTACTTCATTTCTTTTGTTTTTCATTTTTTTCATGTTTTGTTAGACTCTCGGAATTTTTTAATTTATTTTTTCCTTAGATTGTTCTTTTTGAGAAAAAGAGAGAGAGCAGGGGAGGGGCAGAGAAAGAGAATCTGAAGCAGTCTCCACTATCAGCACTGAGCCTGATGCAGGACTTGATCTCACAACCCTGAGGTCATGACCTAAGCTGAAATCAGGAGTAGGACATTTAACTGACTTAGCCACCCAGGCACCCCTCAGAATTTTCTTTTAAAAATAATCACGTGATTTGGCAATTTGTGCAGTGTGCAGCAGTGTTTGGGTATATAGACCATTATTTAGTTGATGACCAAATTTTGAGCACTTCTTGTGAGTCAGGTGCTATTCTAGATTGGAAATACAAAAATAAAGCAAACAGACACTAGACAGATAGTTCTCAGACGTCTAGCTTTTGTAACTGAGTGGATATTGGCATCAGTTAATGAATTCTAGAAGTGGTGCAGATTTGAGAAGCATGATGAGTTCAACTTAAGATGTGTTAAGCTTGAGGTGCCTGTGGGACATCCAAGTGACAATATTCATTAGGCAGTCGGGTGTCTGAGTTGATGGTCATATGCTACATCTAAGGCCTCTAGGAACATCATGTGTAAAGTGAATCATGTTGACCCTAGACTAGAGATCTGTAAACTTTTTCTATAAATGGTGATATAGTAAATATTTTAGGCTTTAGGAGCCATTCAATCTGTTGGAACTACTCAGCTCTGTGATTGTGGTGCAAAAGCATCAGTGTTCCAGTAAGACTTTACAAAAACAGCGGCAAGCTGCATCTGGCCCACGGATTATAGTTTGCTATCTCTAACCTAGATACTTGGACAAATGTAACATTTTTGAATTTGGAATGTCTGTACAATTGGTCTTCGACCATCTGGACTAAAAATAATCAAAGAAAATTCCCGAAATTTAACTACAAGCTTTTTACAATCAGTGTCTGATTCAGCCCAGATATTTATTAAATATTCACAGAATGGTCAAAGGACCAGGCATTTCTGTGTTCATGTTTACTTAAAAACATTTTTTTTGTAATACATACAGGCCGCTGCAGCCTTCTGCCAGTTGTAAATAACTCGGGAGCCATTTGTAACTCGTGGAAATTGGATCCTGCAACTCTTCGTTTTCCCTTGAAAGGCCTCTTGCCATATGATAAGGTATGTAGATAAATCTAATGGAATTTTTGATCCATCTAACAGCCTTCATCCTGGATTATTTGATGTGTTGTGCTAAATTATCTCTTCATAGGCTGAAGAAGTACATATTTAATGAAAAATGGTTTGTGGTTTATCATGTGATTCTAGTATCCAATTATTCCCTGTGGTTTGTGATATTGTGGATGTTTATGCTCCAGTGGACAAAGCACATAGACTAAGAAAACTGAATCTTTAAGTAGAATCCTTGTTTTTATTCTTCCTTTACAAAGTGAGGACCAAAAATGAATTTGTGTGGTTCTTAAAATTTGAAGAGTGAACCTCTCCTTTGTTAGATTTTTTATTTTTATTTTTTTAAGTTTCTTTAAGTAATCTCTACACCCAACATGGGGCTTGAACTCACAACCCCAAGATCAAGAGTCACATGCTCTTCTGACTGAGCCAGCCAGGTGCCCTGACTTTTGTTAGATATTTTAGTGGAATCTAAAGTGGAATAGAGTATTCCCAAAGGAAAAAAATCTATAAGTATCAATAAAATGAAGCATGACATACAGATACAACACTATACTGAAATTTGATAGATTCATTATAGTATGGTTGAAATGGTTACAGAGCAAGGAATGGGGAAGACTAGATATTTTTCATGTAAATGTTTCGTGTCAAAAATGATGTACAGAGCGATTAGGAAACTTACTCAGAAGTGAGGAGAGTGAATAATGAAACTAAGGTCACAATTCTGAGTTCTCGGCATATTATTAGTCAGCAAATTTTAGAATGTGAAAGTGGTAACCTACATGGAATTTATAGTTACCATGATAGCAATGATATTGAAAATAGATAAATAAATTATGCACTTACTGTATGCCCAGCACTACTCTAAGAACTTTTTTGCAATAACCCTTATTCTCGACTATCGTCTTAGTGTCTCCATTATACATATGATGCAACTGAGACAGAGTGGGGTAGCAGTTTGGCTAAGGCCCCTTGTTTAGGAAATGGTAGAGTCAGTATTTGAACTCAGACAATCTGATTCCAGAATCTACACTCTTAACCCCTTTACTATCAAGTCATTTTCCTCCAAATTTGGAAGTAGTGTTTATATTAACACTATGAAAGTGATTGGAAACTGCCTCCATTCCTTTGGTTAGATTTCTGAGGAGAAGATTCTTTCCTTACAGTGATGCTTAAGACTTTCATGTGACTGTAACTGAAGTCATTTCAAAATTTAGCCTCTGTATGACCTTGGGCAAGTCCCTTCATCTCAGTTTTATCACCTATCAAATGAGGGGTGGGGTCAGATTAACTGTAAGCACTAAAATCCTATGATTTTTTTCCACTAGATACTGCCTACTGTATGAAGGTAACAAGTGCCTTTAGTGGATTTTTTTTATCCCAATTTCAAATTATTTGAATTAACATTTACTTTGATCTTGAAGCAATAATTTTTTTTATTTTCTTTAAAGGATCTGTTTGAACCACAGACTGCTTTGTTGAGATATGTATTGGAGCAGCCTTATTCCAGGGATATGGTCTGCAATATGCTAGGTTTAAATAAGCAGGTACTGTACTATGCTGGAAACCTAGTAAATTCTGCATAGAATCTGCACTATTCTTTTCTCTTTTCTTTGCTAGAGCTAACTGAGCAAAACAGTTAAGAACTATTTGGTGATTTTTTTTTTTTAATATGTGGTTTATTAAACAATGAATTGTTCCTATCATTTATATATTGCTTTAAAAATGTTTAAATTAAAAAGGAGATATTTTAAAAGTTGGTTTATTTTGCATTGCTTTTTTTTCTATAAGGCCAGTTTCAAGTATACCTTTTGCCAGAGAAACCTACACATGACTTAACCATAATTTTTGACTTTTTTGTTGTTTGGGTGCCTATTTTTATAACCCTTGGTATCTTCAGCGTGGCCTGGCTGCTGATTTTTTTCCCCCCTTTTTGGTGTATGTTTGTTTTTGGTGGTTTAACATGTGGGAGGGTTTGTGCTGACTCTGGGTTCCTTGAGGCTGGCCTCATAGTCACTGTTTTGTCTTTTCTTTTTTTCTTCCTTTATTTTTGTTCTGTCCTGTCTTGTCCTGCCCATCCTCCAATGCTCTAGACCTTGAACATTGCTCAGGTATGTTCACAACCTTACTGTTGTATTGTGACTAACGATACGCTGGCCGCTTTGTAGCCACTGATTCCATTTAGAGAATACATGTATGGTCGGGGCTTGAAATTGGCAGGACCATGCTGAGACCAAGGCCACTAAAACGAATTTCTTCTTGGGATATGAGAGTTGTTTTTGGTGGATTGTTTTTGGTTTTGGTTTTTGGTGTTTGTTTTTTTATATTCTTTTTTTTTTCTTTTTTCTTTTTTCCTTTTTTTTTTTTTTTCTTTTTTTATACTTTAGGGCTAAAGCTCGCCTTGTGGAATTTTCAGACATGGAAAGATTTGTGGTGGCCTTTATCTTTCCGGATTATTAAAACATAAATAAATAACGTCTATAAAACTATTTACATTGCTTTGCCTTAAAACAAAAACAAATTAAAAACAAAACAAAAAAGAGGGAAAAGCACTTTACTAGAGATACGTTATTTTAAAAGTTGGAGTGGTAAACTTTATGCAGGGAAGGTTTTTTTGGAAACATGGGGATTGACTAAGAAATGTCACACTCTTAGGTGACCCCACACCTGCTTGACAAACACCCTTCTTTGTCAGTCTTTGCCAGAAGTGTCCTCCTCCTAGAGTGGGCTACTTGCAATTGAAGCTCACCTGTGGTGGGAGAAAAACACTATGGCCAAACTTTATGAACCAAACTCTTATACAGTCCCAAGTCTGTTCCAGGACTTTTCACCTTTGAGATTTTAAGCAAAATAGTGGTTCCAATTATTTTTGTTAAAAATTTTTGAGCCCAACATATTAAAATAGACCAGCTTTTTGATTTTAAAAAGACGTTCTTGTCTAGGTTACATAAAATAGCGTTACTGTTTGCAATACTATAGTGAAGGTTGTGCCAGTGCTTCCATTTATAAAGCCCTATTTTTAAGGACATATAGCTTGGCCATAAAACTTGCTCAGTGTTGAAACTTTGCATGCCAAACCTCACCCTAGTAGCAGTATCTCTTTTATTATTTTAAGTTTTTTCTTCTGAAAAATTTACCAAGTTTCCTTGTTTGGACAAGCCTATGTTCATGTGAAACTGAACTGCCTCACACTACAGTACCTGACAGTCGCTTCACACAATCTGTCAATTTAACATCTTAAATAGCAAGTCATTATTTCTGATCAGCTTTCACTTGAGTTAGAGGTAAGTATTCAGCCAACTTTGAAAGAATGCTTCATGCTATGTCTTAAAACTAATTTTTGCAATGAACTTTAAGTCATACTTGACTCAATTTTTTTTTTTTTTACAGTTTGGTGGATAAATGTACCCATGGTCATTTGAGCTGCGAGTACCTTCCCCCAGATAGCCTTAGCTATCATTAGCTTTTTTCTCTTGGGATGCAGCTCTTCTCAGACTAGAAATTGACAAAACAATTCATAGAAGAGTATTTCTGATTTGATTATTTTAATAACAAGTTTCAACCTAAAAAAAGTTTATGACTAAGACATAAATCCGTAAAAAATAAAGTTTATAATGGAAATGCTGACAGAACATTATTAGTATTGGTCCCACTGTAAACATTGTCAAAAGTTCACAATTCATCAGTAATTGTTTGGTACAAAACTCTGTAGTGAATGGACTTGTAGATGGAAGATATATGCTGAACTGACTTGATATATTAATTTTACCACCTGGAAAGTAGAGTAGAAAGTGAGAATACAAAGTATAAGGCATATGATTAAAAATAAACAAGTTATCTTATCACATCTTTTATCATTACAGAACTATATCCTGCACTATACTTTCTTGTCCTTTCTCTAGCAATGCAATAATTTACTCAAAGCTTGAAACTTTTTAAGAGCTGTCCATATTGCATTTTCCAGTAGGAATTGGGCTATATTTTATCCTAAAGTTGGTCACATTCAAAAAGTCATAAATAGCCCAGTTCTGTGACCAGCAAGGTGGAGTGTTCCCAGTGGAAGAATCCTGTTTTATATGTTCACACAGCTTCATGTTCTTTCTGCCCAAGAAGAACATTATATAACAGATACACCCCTCAAGCTCTTATGTGGTGGTGTGTGAACTCTGGCTACCCTGAGACAGTGATAGACCAATCACTCAATTATCTTTGAAAGGCACCATTGAAAGTGGTATTAACTGGCATAGGGCTGATTGGCAGAGAATATGATAAATGACGTACAAAGGGATTTTTCTTCCCAACTTGTCCTGAATAGGTATTGCTCTAAAATTGATTTCTAGCACTGAAATAATGGTTTGAAATTAACTTAAACCCACCTAAGTACAGTATGTTAAAATTTCACCACAAAAGCAGTACCAGAACTGTTACATCAAAAGGGTCAGGGGGCCACTTAATCTAGGATATAGTTACTTGGACTGAAAAGCATTATCATTTGCCACTTGAAATAGTGGTGAGAAAGAATCAGGGGCATGAGTGGAGGTCAATGTTAGTATTTCTATTAATGCCTTGTGCCTCCTTTTTAGCTTTTACCAAAGCTGAAAATTTTAAATAAGTTTCCAATACAGTTTGAGCTATCATGCAGAAATTGAAATGGTAAAATATTGAACTTAGATTCTTAATGTTAAAACAAGTTTTAACTAAATATTCATGTAAATATGATATAAACTAGCTAATTCAACTAAATGCCTAGATCTCGAAGGATTAAATTTACAGAAGCTTTCAGGAAGCATGTTGTGAATAGCCATAGAGCATCCATTGGCTTACAGAAGTATCATAGCCTAGTGATTGATAATCTTTATCAGATCATTAAACTGCTTTACAAATTCTCATTTGTTCCACTTTGTAAAATAATGTACATGGTGGAGAGTATTAATTTTAATGTACTTATTTTTTAGTAATGAAAACTAAAGCCAAACTTACTATTCTAAAGTAGTTAACGTAGATCATTTTATATTTCAACAGGGTTTTTGTTTTTTTTTTTTTTGTATTAATAAAATTGGCAAATAAACAGAGGAACTAACCTATCTTGAAACTTGGTTTGAGAAATATCCTTGGCTTTCATCAAAACACCTGGGAAACACAGAGTTAATCCTGATAAATGTTCTGGCACACTCAGACACCAGGGCATTAGATGTCATAGAGATTCCAGGCTGATTTAATTCTTAACAGAAAACTTAGAGGGAATTTGAATTGTGGTATGTATTGAAAGATCGTCAGCTTTAACTGTAAATTTCCTAGTTGTTCTTACTTTGTCAAAACCTTAATATTTTTGGTTTTCCTCTTTAAGTCATTAACTGTATGACTATTACTACACCCTAAAAATATGTAGGTAAAAGTCTGGTTTTTTAAAGACACACAACTAATACTAAAAAGGGAAGCTCCAAAATGACTCAGGTGCTAAAAACCAATTTTATTTAGTTTGCTCTTTTTTCCCCGAAGCAGACTGATGGAAGACCATCATGGATGGAGGAGTAGATGACAAATTGGTTAGTTTCCAAACTAGAAGGAAATTCCCATCAGTAATGAAAAATTCCTACTGGAAATCCTGGCTTTACTTCTTTTCACAAATTTTTCTGACTCTTGTATACTTTGAATGATTTCACTCTAAATTTGTGTTGTCTGACACATTCCTTAGGTTGTTGGTGGTTGGCAGAACTAGTGAATTTCAAGCCCTGTACACAGTAGTTTTGCATGCTGATTTAAGAAATAGTTCGTAGTGTTGTCTGTTGCACTTTGCTCTGCTTCATAATGATAATTACATTTGGAGGGAAAGTACTGTAGTCCCAACTGGTGGTGTTAATATTGCTATTTGTAAACCTGTAATGTGGTTGAACTGTGATCATGGCATTGTGTTTTGGAAAAAATATGAAACAACCATTGATGCTTACTGTTTCGGATAGATGTTTGTTTTATTTGCATGCTTTAAGAAAGTGCAGCTATATTGGAGCTTTACAAGTTTGGAGCTGGCAAAGAGCATGCAAAAGAGGGGATGCTATTCGTTATGTTTTGTTTTTTTCCCAAATCCGTCCCCATTTTGCATTTTTTCCCTAAATTTAAAGAAATCATATCCCTTTTTCATGGCAAAAGACTAATAATCACATCTAAAGCTTAGAAGGAAAGCATCTGTATTAGTAATTGTATTCACTAGAAAGGCTTCCAACTGCCTGGCTATTAAGTCATATAACATATTTTATAAAAGAAATATGAAAATGGCTTAAAATGTGGCTTAACATATTTCTTTTGGTAAAAGCATATTTTTTAAATCACTTTAAAAGCATAAATCTTTTTGCCTCTAGAAAGGGAAGTTGCATTTTCATTTTAGTGTTTAAATTCAATTCTTTTTCTTGTTTTAGATTTTAAAATAGTCTAATTTAAAATTAAAGCTGCATTATGTTTGGCTTTTAAGAAGGAAGAGCAGAGATTAACTTTGAGGTCGGTTATTCAGTAGAGGAAGTTTCCATTTCAATGTCAGGATCAATACCACACACCGAAAAACATACTGAGTATAATCTGGCAGCTATTTAGATATATCTTATCTGTGTGTGAAGGTAGTGTAAACTTGTGGTGGTTGCTTTAAAATACATAGATTCTCACTGCCTTGTTTGTTCTCCTCACAATATTTGATTCTTGGAAATTCGGGGTTCTTATATTTTGAGTTAGAATAGAAAATTAATACTACTATCCTCATTTCCTATGCTTTTTAAATTATCTTTTTTTCAAAGGATAAATAACTAAATTTTCTGCTGTGCAGTACCCTTTGTCAAATTGAAGCAGTGATGTCTGATGTCTGTAGTAAAAGTTAAAAGTGAATAGGAAGTCTGTTTTGTGTGAGATCTGAAAAATAATCTTTGTAATGGAACTCATCCTCTATGATAATGTAACGTGATGCAGCTTTAATAGACTAAACCTAACCTTAACTTTCTAAGTTCAACTTCATTCCATGCTTCTCAGCCTCTTGTTACAATTAATGCCCATTAACCGGTAAACTTCTGAAACTAACCGGGAGGCTTTTGGAATACTGTATCTAATCTCTGCCCTACAGCACAAGCAGCGTTGCCCTGTGCTGGAGGACCAGTTGGTGGATCTGGTGGTCTATGCCATGGAGCGGTCCGAGACCGAGGAGAAGTTTGACGATGGGGGAACGAGCCAACTCCTGTGGCAGCACCTCTCAAGTCAGCTCATTTTCTTTGTGCTTTTCCAGTTTGCAAGTTTCCCACATATGGTCCTTTCTCTTCATCAGAAGGTGAGTACCAACTCTCCTGTCGGAGCCACTTCACCTGTCGATTGGTCGGCTTTAGACTGGTATCGACGCTGCCTCTTGGTTTCGGCAGTGGCCGAAGCTCTGAGCCCTGATGGCCGTTTTGTCCAGTGCCTTTATGGCTTCTAAACTTTCCACTTTCTTGTCACTGTAAATATTGGTTTCAGTCATTCATTCCACATATTCATTCCACATAGTGCGAGGACCAGGGGATACAAAATGAAAAGGCACTACAGTACCCTCAAGGAGCTCCTTACTTATGGGAAGATATAGATATAAACAATTTGATTACAATAATAGTTTGCATAATGGAAGCATGTTTTCCTGCAATGGAAACAAAGGAGAATAATCCCTATTAAAGACATCAGGAACGGCTTTAGCAAAGAGATATTGAAGACAAATAGAAATTTGCCGAGAGGAAAAGATAGGAAAGTGTTTACATAGCAATAAGATGATCATTTTGGAAAGGACAAAAGTGTGTGAGAATTGGAGAGAAAAATATAAATGGGGAAGTGTTGGTGAGAACAGAAAGGCAGTAAGGCAAGACCAGACGTGGAAAGCTTTACATGGACAAACATATTTGTTCTAATGAGTTTAGATTCTCTTTGGGCGGCAAATGAGGAGGGGAATGACCTCATCATATATACGTTGGAATAATTACTGCTAATTGCCACATGTAGGAAGATGGAGACATAAAAATGGACAGGTCCAAAGTCAGAAGCAAGGATGTGGGTAAGGGAACCTTTGCAGTGATCTGGGTGGGAGATGCTGACGGCCTAAGCCAGAAAAGAGAGGAGGAGCCCAAGACCAGAAAAGCTGAGAGGTGAATAGGACTTGGTAATGGGTAGGTAACAGAGGGAGTAACAGGAGTCTGGCATCACTCACTGGTTTCTACTTTGGCAGTGAATGAAAAAGTGGGACAATGAATCCAAAACAGGGAACACAAATGGACGAGTAAATTTGTAGAAGAGTTGGTTTTATCATAATGTTTTAGACATGTTGAATGCAAATAAACGTTGTTATAAAATCTCTACAGCATGATTTTTTGAGGGAAAATTTTTCGTAAGCATTGTTAAAATCCTTCTAACCACCAGTTCCCCCCCACTGCCACCCCCACCACCATTGATTTCTGTTCTAATCTACAGGAAACCAGGAAAAGTGTTTTTTGATACCCACTCCTCAAGGATTTTAAATTAAAGAAAAAAAATCCTTTTTGTATAATGAAGTATTCCTTGTGTTTTGATGAAAGATTTTTAGCAATTATCTTATATTAAACTTGATTCTCTTGCATACATGATCAACTTAGTTATGCTCTAAAACATTGAACTTTTGATATGTATAGTTGTTTTGGGATCAGGGAGGAACTCTATATATAATATTAAACTAATTTAAAAGGCTTTGCTTGGTGTGTCTTAAGTTGAGATTAAGTATTGTAAATGCCAAAGTTGGATGCTAACTTTCGGAGAACAGGGTTTCTCCTGTTTTTTGTGGGGGTTTTGTTTTTGTTTTTTTCCCTTTAAACTTTACTACATCCATCTCTTTAACCAGCTGTGTAGATGTGTATTTAAACATCTTTTACAGTTAGCAGGGAGAGGACTGATTAAAGGCAGAGATCATCTAATGTGGGTTCTCCTGCAATTCATTTCTGGAAGTATTCAGAAAAATGCACTCGCTGATTTTCTCCCTGTCATGAAGCTCTTTGACCTTCTGTATCCAGAAAAAGAAGTAAGTTTTACAAATTGTTAACAGTGTGATGAGGGGAGTATGTCTAATTTATGTGTAAGGATTTTTGTGTGATTTTGTGAACAGGTTACCGGATTTGGAAGCTGAAAACCTGGGTTCTTTCCCAATTCTGTGACTAAAAATCATGAGATGGTACATGAGTCTCTCTTGATATTAGTTTATTCATGGAAAGTGAAGAAATTGAACTAGATTAGTTCTGAAGCTTATCTTAAATTAAATTGAACATCTTTGGCAAGCTCTTTCTCTATATTCTTTCTTTTTTTTTTTGAGAGGGAGCATGAGCAGGGGAGGGGAGGAGGGAGAGGAAGAGCAAGTATCTTCAACAGGCTCTACGCCCAGCACGGAGTCCAACATGGGGCTCGATCTCACAGTCATGTGATCATGACCTCAAACGAAATCAAAAGTGGTATACTTAACCAACTGAGCCAGCCAGGTGTATTTCTCTGTATTCTAAGTAGGTTTACAATTTTTTAAAAGCATTAAGCTGTTTTGATCTATACAAATCATTGAATGATCAAATAACATCAGTGTCTGTTAATGTCTGTTTTTGTTTGTGAGTTTAGTATGTTCCCCCATTGTTCTGTTAGATGAGGTATTTGGGTAAAATATGGTATATATTGACGATTGCCATTTCTTTAAACACATGTTATTATGGAAATTTTTAAATGCACAAAAAAGGTAGGGTGAATAAAAAAATAAACCCCTGTGTACTCATCACCAAAAAATATTTTCTAAGTTTTTCATTAGTCTCAGGTATACAATATAGTGATTCAACAATTCTGTATGTTAGTGCTCATCAAGATAAGCGTACTCTTATCCCCATCACCTATTTTACCCATCCCCCCACCCACCCACCTCCCCTCTGGTAACCATCACTTTGTTCTCTATAATTAAAAGTCTATTTCTTGGTTTGTCTCTCCCTTTTTTTTTTTCTTTGCTCATTTGTTTTGTTTCTTAAATTCCACATATGAGTGAAATCATATGGTATTTGTCTTTCCCTAACTGCCTTATTTCACTTAACATACTTTTTAGCTCCAACCATGTTGCAAATGACAAGATTTCATTCTTTTTTGTGACTGAATAATATTCCATCGTGTGTGTGTGTGTGTGTGCACGCCATATCTTCATTCGTTCATCAGTGTACACTTGGGCTGCTTCCATAATTTGGCTGTTGTAAATAATGTTGCAGTAAGCACAGGGGTGTGTGTATCTCTTTGAATTCATGTTTTTTTCTGTTTTGGGGGTAAATACCTAGTAGTGTGATTACTGAATTGTAGAGTAGTTCTAACTTTTAAGGAACTTTTTGAGGAACCTCCATGCTGTCTTCCACAGTTTGCATTCCCACCAACAGTGCACAAGGGTTCCTTTTTCTCCACATCCTCACCAACACTTGTTTCTTGTGTTTTCTATTTTGGCCATTCTGACAGGTGTGAGGTGATACATCATTGTAGTTTTAAGAAACATCCTTGCTTCATCTTTACACTCATCTTTTTTTGTTAATACTAGACAATTTTAAAGCAAATTCCACATGTCCATGTCATTTCCCCCATCAGTATACAATATGTATGGTGTGTGTGATAATATATATTGAATACAGTACTTATTTAGATTGCATATTTCTTAATTTTTCTATGTTCTTGAAAACCATATATGTGACCTTTAGAAATTCGGAGTTTACAGTGTATTTATCACATTCAGTAAAATTTCATAATGTGTCTGTTTTTTAAAGAATGTAAATTTTTGAATGATTGTGAATGGTCTGTGACAGCACCTGTGAATTTCTGTTAATTCCTTGGCAAGTAAACAATCTTGTAATAGTTTTAAATTTTTATAGCTGTTAGATCTTCTGATTTATATTATTAAAGAGTCAAAGAACAATTGAAGCTGAATTAATACAGGGTATTTTAAAAAGAGTTATATCAACAATGGATTATTAGAATACATATTTATTAAAATATTTACAATTTGTTAATTCTTCTCTTTCTTATAATATGCAAATTGTTTTCCAGTATATCCCAGTTCCTGATATTAACAAACCCCAGTCAACTCATGCCTTTGCAATGACTTGCATTTGGATTCACCTCAATAGAAAAGCCCAAAATGACAACTCCAAGCTACAGATTCCAATACCTCATTCTCTAAAGCTTCACCATGAGTAAGTAATTTGTAGCTTAACAGTTCATTTTTTAAAATTACTGTTTTAAAAAACAGCAATGACATTAGCCTAATGTCATTATAGGCTAATGTCAGTCTCGGTATTTGTATGAAGTATAGAAATCTCCCCACACCCACTGGAGGTAAAGGTGAATATTTAATTGCATGTCCTGCCAAGAGAGACTGACCAATAACCTGCATCAGAAAACAATTAGAAAATTAATTCTGTTTATATGTATGCAGATATATAATTTTTAATTTCCAGGTCTAATCTTTGCTTTTACATGTTTTACCTTAATTAAAGTTCTTAATTTCCAAAAGTATGTGAAAATGTTTCCAAATTTCCTAAGCACTCAGGATTTGAGCGCGATCTGACAGATCTCTTTCACTCCCTGGCTGCCAGGACTGTTTGAGCTTTTCTGGCTGGTGTGCTCCCTTACATCATTTCCAGAGCTGTGATAACTCAAAGAAGATGCTCTTAAAAAGAGCATAGGACTTGGCTTTAGATAGTCACGGATATTAGGAATACCTGAACTTCCCACCTAGAACTTCTGAAAAGGATCCCCAGATCTCTTCATAGGAGACTGTAGGGGAGTCAGACTTCACATTCCATTTGGCTGTCCCTTTATGAGACATTCCTCCATCATCTTTTCACAGTGACATCTATAATGAAGGCACATTGTTATACTTAGCCAGATGGATAATAAATAGAATTTGTGAGTTACTCGTTCATTATTTGAGTCTTAGTGCTGTGTATGTAGTAATACTTAACACATATTCATTAACTGGTAGCTTATTATTATTTAAGTTCTTATTGATATGCTACTTAAACTTTTGTACGTTAACCACTCTATATTTTGAGCAGAAACTATTATACCTGTAGGAATAAAGATAGTATTGGTAAATCATTTCATGAAAGTAAATGTTTTTTAAAACACAAAGCTAACTTTCTGGAAGTTACTTGCGTTTTTTACTATTTGATGGTACTTGAAATTGTAGGTTCCTACAGCAGAGTCTTAGAAATAAAAGTTTACAGATGAATGACTATAAGATCGCCCTGCTGTGTAATGCATACTCTACAAATTCCGAATGTTTTACATTACCTATGGGAGCTCTGGTAGAAACTATTTATGGAAATGGAATTATGAGAGTACCTCTTCCTGGAACGAGCTGCTTGGCTTCCGCGTCTATTACTCCCTTACCCATGAACCTTCTGGACTCACTGACGGTTCATGCCAAAATGAGGTATGTTCTTTTTATTTATTTGGTCCTGTGTTGGGGAATTGATATCGGTGTAGTACAGGCATGATTTCATGATTATGTGTGTGTTTTTTATGGTCAGTTGCATTTTTTTTCATGATTTGGTTTATTATAAAGTTATTTATTATAGGAGTTCTAGAATATAAAATAAACCTGAAGAAAATAACTGCTATAATCTCATCATAACAAATAAGCCTTGTAAAATTTTTTGGTATATGTTCTGAGTCTTTTTTTCTATGTATAAATATATGAATTTATGGGCTAGGTTTTTTGTGTTTTTTTTAATAAAATGTGTTCTTACAGTAACACTTTGTTATAACCACCTTTTCATAATAATCTGTCAGACACCTCTTTAGGTTTAGTGTTTTTCAGAAACATCTGTTTTAATTGCTACAAAGAAGTCTTTGGTGTGGCCATATATAAATATTTAGCCAGTTCTGCATTGTTGGGCATGAGTTATTCACGGTGTCTTACTATTATAATGATGGCTAGAAGATTATTTTTATGTCTTTACACCTACCCATAGTACATTTTTATCAAGTAATTTGCTGGAAATAGCTGAGTCCAGGAATGTGAAAATTATAATGCCTTTGCTGTATTGATTACAAATAGGATGCTCTTAGAATTGACATTATGGTTTCCAAAAGACAGAAAACGCTCTGTTGGGTGTGATTCTTGAACCTTAAGTACCCCTTAAGAGACAAGCTGATAATGTAAATGAGTGACACATTCTGCTGAGTGGAAGAGAGCCAGATATTAGTGCACATGAAAGTGTGTGTATATAGAAGGAATTGAGGCTGACTGAAGCTTTCCTCATGGTGCTGCCAGTTTAGCTAATTTCTATAATGTAAGAATGTAAGCTAATGTAACTAAATCTTCTAAATTTTTTTTGAGAAGGGATAGAAATCCAGATTTTTATTTCTAGTCTTTCAGCTCTTAAGTACTGGCTCAAACATCAGACACTGTGGGTGAAAGAGAATGTATCTGTGGGACATCAGTTCTAGAAAAGCCATGCTCTTTTTCTCATGGTAAACATTGTCGTAAAATTATACATGTGCTTTACCTGCTTGGGTGACAGAGTTGAGGGAAGCCCTGTTAGAACCCAACATTTGGATCTTAGCAGTGATTTTTTTTTTTTAAGTAATTCCATAATAAAAGTTGTTTACTTTCTCAAACAGTTTTAGTTACATATTTGAAAGAGAAAAACAGACTAAAGCCATTCATGCATGTTCTTTTATTAAAATTATTTTTGAGGTTTGGGTTTCTTTTTGTGTTTTAGTTTTTGTTTCAGTCTTTTTTTAAAAAAAAAATATGTATTTTGAGAGTGCACAGGGGAGGGGCAGAGAGAGAGGGAGAGAGAAAATCCCAAGTGGGCTGTAAGCCATCAGTGCAGAACCTGATGCAGTGCTTGATCTTATGAACTGTGAGAGCATGACCTGAGCCAAAATCGAGTTGGACGCTTAACCAACTGAGCCACCCAGCTGCCCCTGGTTTTTTTATTTATTTTTTTTTTTCAATTCAAGTGTATTATGAGTTGTACCCAAATTTTGCTTTTTGCATGAGCAGAGGGATCCTGATGCTCGTTGAAAACACCATGGAAACCAGAATTCATCTCGGGTTATACAGTGCATCACTACCAGGTGTCCTGCATGGCTGAAATGATTAAAATGGAGCTCATTCATTTTTGAACTTAGATTTATACCAAGTTTCCTATAAATACACTAGTCCTATGTTTATGTCAAAAATATGGATTTTTCTTTTCTTTTGTTTCTCCTCAGCCTTATCCATAGCATTGCTACCAGAGTGATAAAACTTGCTCATGCAAAATCCAGTGTGGCCTTGGCTCCAGCCCTAGTGGAAACGTACAGTCGTTTATTGGTCTATATGGAAATAGAGTCTTTGGGCATCAAAGGATTTATCAGTAAGACAAGACTTTCTGGTGTTTGTACCCATTAACCCATTCATTCATTCAACAGGTATTCTTTTAGGTGCTGGGGATACAACAGCGTAAAGATGTCACTGCCATCATAGAGATTACCTGCTAATGAGGGAGACAAGTAAATAAATGAAGTATAGAATATGTCAGATGATATGTCTTATGGAGAAAAATAAAGCAAAAAAGGAGGGTAGGAAGTGTGAGAATCAGGAGAGTAAGCTGCATTTTTAAGTAAAGTTATGATAAGAAAGGGGTATTATGTTAAGTGCTTGGGATACAATGAGCTAAACAGACATGGTCCCTGTACTCATGCAAGAATCTGTGGTCTCATATGCTTCTTTTGCTAGTTTGCCCCTGGGGCTAAGTCTGGCAATAGGAAAGGAGTTTTCCTGCATTTTAGAAGACAGCTTGTAATGTTTATTAGTTGTTACATAGTTCTAAATAATATATACTTTGTAATATAGAAGTTTTTTTGTGATTCATGGTAATTGTAACTTTTCACTAATATGGTATAATTTTAGTTTTAACCATAATTACTCTTCTTCCCAGATAATCAAGGGTTCAATAAAACTTTTTGGGGAGAGAGGAGGGAATAGGGGTGGGTGTAATGCAATCTGTATATTAAAAAGTGATCCTCATGCTTCAAAAGACTGGAAACATTAACTTTATAAAAGTAATTTGAAAGAACTGAGAAGTGAGGAAGGGTAATTTTTTTTTCATTTATTGTCTCTTATTTTTCTAGATGAACTTGAGTCTCATTTGTCAAATTCCAAGGGGAAAAAAAGGGCAAACTTGGTATTATAATTAGGATCTGGACTTTTTTCGTTACCATTAAAGGAGAAATTATGGAGAAAATTTGGAAAGTGTGTGTGTGTGTGTGTGTGTGTGTGTGTGTGT